AAAACTATTGGCTTACCACTTTAACCTTGAAACTTGTTGGTTATTCATTCCTCTTCTAGTTACTACATTTGTTATTATGATCTTATATACAACTTGTTAACATGGTTCTGCAATCTGTTTCTGCAGATGGGCAACAAGGGTGCTTTCATTCGTTTTGAAGCTCCGGATTTGAAGCCAAACATTGTTACATTCTCGGCGGTGTTGAGCACCTTTGCATTGTGATATCCCTTTTTAAACTTTCAAATTGCACATCATAACACTCTGGAACAGTACCTTTCTGTTTGTGAATGACAGCCTCATCCTGATGTCAAGCCAATGGCATATGCAAACAACTTTCTTCGGTTGTTCCAATAACTTACATATTTGTCTTGAATGATCTATCTTCTATGGTTTGGGGGATACAAAAGCTCAACTGCTAAACAGTAAGTTGCTTGAGATAGAGAAATAGTGGTTGTCGACAATGCTGCTTTGACTAATAGTTTTTCCTTTCAAGGAATCCCTTGGAGGTACATTCCTTCTACTACTTTTCGTTAGTTAGGAAGAAGTTCAGGCATTTCGTTCATTGTTGAAATTTTCCTTTGATGTCAATCAGAAACGAAGCTGATGGTGCCTTGTAAAATGTATGATCCCTTTTATCTTTGTGTCTATAACATGTGTTCCTATTTATCCGAACAATAAATTTGGTGCGTTTCTATGTTCGGTATGTGGATTATTCTTGCTTAAGTTTTATATTGCTGCTGCTTTGATGGTGAGGGATAGAAATCTTGTCCCCATTCCTTATAAAGTTTACGGTGCCCCAAGCAATCGAGTCTCATGCGGATTTCATTTATAGCTATTAATTACCTCTTAACTATGAAAGCTGGGTTTTAACCCAAGTACAAGTATAGGTGTTTGGGTATTTAGGTAAGTATTTAATTTTTAAGATTATATTTAAAAATTTTTAAGTCGAGTATATTAAATGTATTTTATACTCGATTTATATTTAAAGGTACTCACCCCTAACTATTATTCCTAAGCCGAATCAACCAAGCCTACTTTTAAACAAAAATTTATTTCAGACCCATTGGTTTCGAGCCTGCAGCGCGCTTAGTCTTAAATAATGAAAATGGGTCCATTTTTCCATCAATAGTTTAGAGTAAAATATTGACTCTAAATCATAATTATACTTGACCGTAAAAATTTTTAGAGAAAATGTATAAATAAAAATGTTAATTTTACTTTTTTTTTTCCATTTAAATATATTTATTTTATTAATTTATAAATAAAAATATTAACTTCTGATTTTTCAATAAAAGAATACTAACTTTTAATTTTTTTTCTTAACTTAAGAATTAATGGAAGGGTGTGCTGACATGCTGAATTGATTTTTCTTAATAAGGCCAACATTATTAAATTAAAAAAAAGCTGAAAAGTTGATATTTTTAAATAAAAAAAGTTACAAATTAATATTTTTATTTAAAAACTAACCATTAATATTTTTAATAAAAAAACGTAAAATTAGCACTTTTATTTGCATCTTTTATCAAATTTCTTTGCCATTTTCATACCAATACGTTATACGTATACCTGCCAAATTATTTGATACACCTTTTTCTCATTTTGCTATGATAGTGGACTCTTTTTGGCTATTTCTATACTAGATAGATTCGATAATTATCAATTATTATTAGAAATAACGCAACTGTATAGTTACCATGGCATGGCAAAACATGACGGTGCCCAGGCCATCTCAAAATATCATGTGATATGGAAAGTAAGATATCAATATTATTTATTAAATTTTACTCTGATTAGAACTTAAAATGCATTAAGGCTCAAAAATTTAAAAAGAACTAAAATTTTATTAGTGCCTAGATAACTCTTTTATTTATTAACATATTTTAATCTTTTTTAAATTTAATCTCAAATTGTAATCTTATTTAGAGATTTCAGTATTTTTTTTTCTTTAAATTAGAATGGTGATTGTCTATTTACTTCTCATTTTTAATTGCAAAAAAATTGAAAATTAGATAAATTCAAGTTAAAATTGTTGCTTTATCTTCAAGATGAGATAATTGAAAAAATATTACTTAAATCTAATTTAAAACTTATATAAAAAGAACTCTTTTAAATTAGGTCATTTATTTAAAATTCAAACTTCACCTTATTAAATTTTCAATTTAAAATTGCAATCAATCTTATTGTATTATCTTTTTAAATTTCAAATCAATAGATCAATAGAACTTATACCTTATTAAATTTTGTTGTTATTAAGGTATAAAATGCATTAAGACCCAAAAATTTTAAAATAATTAAAATTTAATTAGTGTCTAGATAACTTTTTTATTTATTAGCTAATTTTAATCTTTTCTTTTTAAAATTTAATTCAAACTATGATCTTATTTGAAAACTTCTATTTTTTTTTCTTTAAATTAGAATGGTAACCATTTATTTACTTTTCATGTTTAACTAATAATTGAAAACTAAATAAACTTAAATTAAAACTATTGCTCTATCTACAAGATAAATAAAATTGAAAAACCTTAATTAAATATAATTTAAATCTTATATAATAAAAACTCTTTTAGATTAGATCATTTATTTGAAATTCAAACTTTTTATCTTATTAAAATTTAAATTTAAATTCACCATTAGTTTCATTGCATTATCTTTTTGAATTTGAAATTAATAAATCAAAAAAACTTATAATAAATAATAGAACCTTTCATTTTTACCAAAAACAAAAATGTGAAACCTCTCTTCCTTTCAAGAACCATGGAAAATTTTATCAAAAGTTACTCAGTCCTCTACAAAACTAAAAATAAACAAATAAGTGAATATAAATTTAAAGCAAAATTCCTTGTGTAGCGGGGCAAGACTACTAATCTTTTATTAAACCCAATAAACTTGTGGAGCAGGTGTAATATGCCTTTTTCTTAGACAATAAGCAAGTCTTTGAGTCAATTTTGATATATTTTAAGACTAATTTTT